TTATCTTGTTCAAGCATGCCTAACCCCTCCGTTCGGCCTTTGAAATTCATGAGAGACTGTTTTTGAATCCGGATTCAACAAAGTTCACAGCGGTGAAGATGCTGAAAAGGAAATGTTACAACGCTGGGTTGCGAATTTTACATTCTGTTTCGGTTCATTTTATTGCATCCTTATTTATCCTAGTCTTTATTTTGTGAGCTGTCCAGAGTTGGTTGGAATTGGGCGGTGTCAAAATTGAAGAAGGAATTAAATAACTTTTTTTTTCCTAATTCTATCTAATTCACTGATTAATCATGCACCTGAGCCTAAATCAGAATCAGTTTCATGATCCTTGTGAAAAAGCAAAACGCTACCTCTCAAAACATAACCCCTCTTCTGTGAAATCGTTTTGAATGGCTTACAATAGGTCTTGTGCCAACATTTAGCTCTCTACTCCCAAGTTCCAACAGGTTCACGGGAGAGAGTAAGAAAAGCGAAAATCAATGGAACCCATTATTCTGAGGAAATAACATCTAAGAAGCCTCAATGGATAAGAGCTTCTTGCAGTCTCACAAAACCTTGCAAACAACTCCCAGACACATCCGTAATCAACACCACATTTTAATTTTGAATGTCAAAGAAGGGGGGGAGGGACATGATTAAATCTATGCCTGGAGGTAATCATATTAACTGTATTTAATTTTAATTCAATTTAAGCATCAACAAAATGAAATGGAACTTGGCTTCTGTTCCAGTCATTTATCATATGGGTCCAGTCCCCTAACCATTTTCTCTGCATTCTTTCTAGAGTTTCAGCACCTTTTTCTATCATGATACCACCCATGAACGCAGTATTCCAAGAACGGTCTTACCAGTGCAGTATAAAGAAATAGAGCCATATTAGTGTTTTTTCCCCCCTATTTATTGCTAGTGCTACCGTATCAAATTACTGTTTCCATATTTAGATTTAGATTTAGATTTTATTACACTTCTATACCGCCCTTCTCTCAAAGGACTCAGGGGGGTGTACAGCCATCTTAAAACACATATACACTTACAAAATTTAAAAACAATTTAAAAACAAATATAAAAGCTAACAGACACCCAATTTAAAATTCTTATTAGGCCAGCCCGGTTTGTTGGAATAAAAGAGTCTTCAGGGCGCGGCGAAAGGTACGCAGATCGGGGATCATACGAACCTCTAGGGGCAGCTCATTCCAGAGGGCAGGTGCCCCCACAGAGAAGGCTCTCCCCCTGGGTGTCACCAGTCGACATTGTTTGGGAGTGTATTGGCCGGTGGGAGTGTATTGGCTGGTGGGAGTGTATTTGCTGGTGGGAGGCTATCGGTGGCAGAAGGCGATCTTGTATATACCCCGGTTCTAAGCCATGGAGCACTTTAAAGGTGGTAACCAACACCTTGAATCGCACCCAGAAGACCACCTGGAGCCAGTGCAGCTCGCGCAGGAGAGGTGTTACATGAGTGCGCCGTGCCGCCCCCATAATCCCCATATAGGATCACTGAGGTGTGGCTAGTACATTGCAGTGGTGGTATTTAGCTGGTTCTATCTGGTTCGGGCAAATTGGTAGCGGCGGCTGTGGTAGGCTCCGCCCACCCACCCGGACATCATCACATCCCGATTTTGATGCTCTGCTTATGCGCGGAGATGCGCTCACATTTGCAAACCGGTAGCAATGGTAAGTGAATACCACGCCTAGTACGTTGGACTAGAAATGGAGAGGTTCAAACTCAGAAAGCACATTGGGCTATTTGTGTCTTTCTCCCTCACCCACCTCACAAAGTTGTTTATGCCATCTTGAAGTCCTTGGAGAAAGAGCAGTGTTTATAATAGACTGGGTGCTGTATGTTGTTCAGGCAAAATAACATTTGAATATGTCAACCGAAATTGTCATGCAGTTCTGACCAACCGTTCCTTGATATTTTACTTTTGTTTGAAATCAAGTTGGCTTCCAGTCGAACCGTGATTACATCTCTCAGAATTTCCAGGCATAAACACGGCCATTTTGATTTATGGCTCTATTTTTTTTCTTCTCCCCCTGGGAGGTCAAAGAAACTAACGTTGGATTCCTCCTTGCTTTTATCTGCCTAGCAACAGCCCCAGCGGTGGGTTTTACATTATGTTGCTACTGGTTTGCTGCGCGCGCATCCGGTTCGCGCACACGCCTGCCTTCCACACATACGTCCGGCATTCTTCACATGCATTTTTCTCACTCATACACCATCCGTGCATACGCCTGGCCTCAAAAACTTGCCTAAATAGGATGGCATTGAGCCAGGGCGCCCCCCCCCCACAATTTCCACTACCGGTTTGGGTGAACCGGTCTGAACCGACTGAATACCACCTCTGAACAGCCCCATAAAATAGGTTGGGCTGAGATAGTGGGCATAGCTCACAGTGAGCCATTGTGCTTCCATCGCTGAGGATGGACTTGGATTGGGGAGTGGGTCTCTGTTAATTGCCCATCCCTATTCTAATACAATACTTTCCCCACCATACCATGCTGACTACCCATAAATGCACAAGATAGATTGCAATAAAGTCACTTTTTAAATAGATAGCTCCATTACAATCCAGTTTAGCCATCTGCTTAGAAAGGACCCAACAGAAAACAATGGAATAAAAATGGATCTAAGACAGTATCTGGCTTAGCACATCTTTTTTTTAGCAATAGCAATAGCACTTAGACTTATATACCGTTTCACTGGGCTTTACAGCTCTCTCTAAGTGGTTTACAGAGTCAGCCACTTGCCTCCAACAATCTGGGTGCCCATTTTACCCACCTCGGAAGGATGGAAGGCTGAATCAACCTTGAGCCTGGTGAGATTTGAACTGCCAAATTGCAGGCAGCCAACAGTCAGCAGAAGTAGCCTGCAGTACTGCACTCTAACCGCTGTGCCACCACGAGTAAGGATATGGTTTTGCTTAGCATGGTTTGCAAATCTAACTTTGATGGCTTCTGAATTGTGCTTGCTGGCATCACATTCTGTGTAGGTTTAGGAGAGGAACAGGCAGAAACGAGAAAGGAGGGCAGAGTTAAATGAATCATCAGTCTAGAGTTATTCCCTTTGCACATATGTGCTAGTCGTTCCTGACTCTAGGGGGCGGTGCTCATCTCCATTTCAAAGCTGAAGAGCCAGCGCTGTCCGAAGACATCTCCGTGGTCATGTGGCCGGCATGACTCAACACCAAAGGCGCACGGAATGCTGTTACCTTCCCACCAAAGGTGGTCCCTATTTTTCTACTTGCGTTTTTTACGTGCTTTTGAACTGCTAGGTTGGCAGAAGCTGGGACAAGTAATGGGAGCTCACCCTGTTATGTGACCCTAGAGATTAGAACCGCCGAACTACTGACCTTTCGATCGACAAGCTCAGCATCTTAGCCACTGAGCCACCGAGTTGTTATCTTCCCACAAATGGTCTAAGCCCAATCCCTCTTGAATCACCAATTCACGACTGAACTTTCGTTGACTAGATTCTTTTGTAGAGACTCGCTTGAGCAATAAATCTTCTGAACAGCAACCTAACAATTCTTTACACCTGAGAATCTTGCAGGTTGCAATTTTCCTAGAGCAGACAGAATTATGGTGCATGAAAAAGTGGCAGTGTTACTTTGAAGCCAAGGCTCTCTGTCCCTGTTGTGTGTCCTTTCCTCTGTTCCTTTTGCTTTCCGCTGTCTGAGAATGCAAGGGCCAACTTGCTACCTTCCCAGGGATCTGTTAAACAAGCTGTCCCAAAAGATGAGATTTATTTAGTGACCGTCTGAATTACAGCAGCCAGAGTGAAAGGGGAGGCCAAGGTATTTCGCAAATACGGCTTCGCTTGTTCGTGTCTCCTGTATAAACAGAGCTCCAGATCTCAGATCTGCTGCTATTCCTCCACACCAAATAAGGATCTGGAGAATTGACTTCTCTATTTTTAAAATATTGTGTGAGGTCACTTGTTGGGTAGATATCCCCCCTCCCCCCCCCCGTGTGCTATCTCATAGTTGTGGGTGTTTCTGGGGCAGTTTCAAATGAAACAAAGGTTAACATTGTCAGGATCTGTGATAATGGGATACATGTCAGGTGTGAAGAATCAGGACCACAGGTTAAGCTCCAGCTAAATTGTTTTATTGCTCATGCCTATACAGAATAATCTAGTCAACAGCACTACATTGATGCTAGATAAGAGTTAACCTAATTCAAGAAGGTTTAGAGTCAGACCGTTTGTGGGAACGTAATGACTCTAGGCTGATTACTCTCTTGACTCCCACCCCAGTCTCTGAGTGTTTTTCTCCTACATCATACTTGCTAGTACATCTGATAAATGAGCCAACTCTTCATGCCAAATTCTACCAGCCATATAATCATTCCTTGATCTTGCTCACTTTGAGGCTAATCTGGGACATTGATCCCACTTCTACAGCATTTGGGTCACCGACGATTACCGTATTTTTCAGAGTATAAAACCCTCCAGATTATAAGACACACCTATTTTTTGGGGGGGAGGAAAACAAGAAAAAAAAATTTGCCTCTGCCTCCCAGCAATTTGCCTCCTTGCAGCAAACAGCGGAGGCCCAAGCAGCAATAGGCAATGACAATCCCTGCAGCCTGAAACAGCTGAGGGTCAGGAGGCCGTTCCAACCGACAATCAGCTGCTTGTGCTAATCAGGCTGTGCTGAAGCTGAAAGAAGTTGTTTGCTGCAAGGAGGTAAATTGCTGGGAGGCAGAGGCCAAAGGGTGGGGGCCGGTGGGTTGGCGGGGCTACATTTGATGTATATAAAAAAAGCGTCCCAGCATCCCCAGGGTCATGTGAGCACAATTTGGGTGCTCAAGCAACTGGCATGCATGTACGACGATGGTTGCAAGGTCCCAAAGTCACGTGATTGCCCTTTGCAATCTTCCGACAAACAAAGTCAACAGGGAAGTTGGATTTGCTTAACAACCACATGATTCACTGAACAACTGCAGTGATTCATTTAACAACCATGGTAATAAAGATCATAAAATCGGGTGCAACTCACGTAATCACCATCTTGCTTAGCAGTGGAAATTCTGGCCCCAACTATGGTCATAAGTCGAGGACTACCTGGCATTGAGGGTAAAAGGAAACAAAAGAAAGAGGAATGCTTTGGCAACGCCTGAAGGTTTCGCATGATGGGTCTAGTAGCATCTTCGTGGCATCTTCCCCTTCTGCAGAGGTTGCTAGAGGGGTCTCTTCATGCACTAAGCGCTTCCTTCCCCTTCCTTCCTTTTTTCTGTATATCAGATGTTGTATAGACTCAATGTTGGGCCTTCAGCCGATCAGGTTGTTGCAGAAATTAAATCCAGAAAGCACACACAGGCAGACTGATTCAGCAGGATTCATTAACCTCTTTATATACATATACAGTAAAACATGAAGGTAATTTACAATACCAACAGCAGATTTCTTCCAACGTAGCAGTTACAAGCAAAACACAAGGCAGGAGAGAGCAGTTAGTTTCATTTTCTCTGCACAGACTCAGAAGCTGCAGACTAAGACATGCCCTGGCTCCAGTCTGTCCCAGCTTCCAAACAGCCCTCACTGGCTGACTTAGTTGCTATGCCTATACATTGGCTGACCTTGTTACCATGTCCTATTCCAGTTGATGAATATAGTCTGACACAGGTGAACAAGGATGTTATGCACATCCAATCTCTTGTTCCAAACCTTCCTTCTCCTAAATCCCATGAAAGTCCTCCCCATCAAGTAGAAAACTCAGGGGTGAAATCCAGCAGGTTCTGACAGGTTCTGGAGAACCGGTAGCAGAAATTTTGAGTAGTTCGGAGAACTGGTAGCAGAAATTTTGAGTAGTTCGGAGAACCGGCAAATACCACCTCTGGCTGGCCCCAGAATGGGGTGGGAATGGAGATTTTGCAATATCCTTCCCAGGAGTAGGGTGGGAATGGGGATTTTGCAATATCCTTCCCCTGGAGTGGAAGTCTCAGCTCCCAAAAAGCCCTCATTGGCTGACTTAGTTGCTATGCCTATACATTGGCTGACCTTGTTACCATGTACTATTCCAGTTGGTGGGCGTGGTGTGGCTTGGTGGGCGTGGCTTGGCGCATGTAACAGGAGAAGGATACTGCAAAATCTCCGGTAGTAAGAAAATTTGGATTTCACCACTGAGAAAACTCCACTAGAAACTTATCTTTCCCTCTTCATAAACACAGAGGTGTTTCATTTAACACAGATACCTTGAATCACCCCTTACTCCGAGTTGCAAAAAGGATGGGGAATTGTGTGAAAGAAAAAGTTCTGACCTGTGGTTTTTCTTGGGAACGATGGAGTCTCCAGGCATGAGATGTCCCAAAGGAAATTGGGGTGGGGTTTTTTGTTTTTTTTTACATCCTTCTCAGCCTCAGGAACCACTTGGTCTCCTCCGTGTGTTTTTAAAAGATGAAATTATTCCCTTTCCAGTTGGACAGTTGGAGCACGCAAGGAAGAAGGAATGTAAACAGCTCTCCTTTACACTAAATAAACGTTCCTTTTTGTCTGAGCAAATATTCCACCAAGTCAGAATCTGACTCTTGTAAAAGAGACGTTAGAACATTTCTGCCTTCGCATTCCATCCTCAATATCTAGAACTAGAACTCTCCCAGACAGTTGGTTGTTGAGCTTCTGATGAAAGTTCTTCAAGGAGAGAGAACAAAGATCCTAGCCCTGGTTAGATATGTGAGCCTGTGGTCAAACTGCTCTATCTAAGAAGAAGCCTTCTCCATGAGGCTTTTTGAAATTCTCCACCCAATTTGTGGAGGAGAAATTGGGTGGACAATTTGTTCATCTGTCTCCATAGAATCATAGGTCTGGAAGGGAACTCGGAAGCTCTTCTAGAGTAGACCAACACCTTACTCAAAGCAGGAGACTTTTATACTACCCCGGTCTGTTTTATTTAATGGGAAGAACAAGTTCTCCAACACTTCTCATGTGGACATCCTGTAGTCAAGAGGTCCCTCCTGATGTCATCCCTTGGGGTTGAATGGAAACATGGAAGCTGGAGAAACTGTCAATCATTCCAGAGAGGTTTTGGTTCCGAAAGGTAGGACAGTTCCTATTCAAAAGCAAATTCTCTTTCATCGGGTTGAATGGGGACTGATAGACCAGGAGTTCTCAACCTTGGCGACTTGAAGATGTGTGGATTTCAGCTCCCAGAAGGGTAGTTGGGGAATTCTGGGAGTTGAAGTCCACACATCTTCAAGCTGCTAAAATGTTAAAAAAACGGTGGTAGACAATTTGGAAGAATTTTTCTTCCTGGCAGTCATACCAGTTTCAATTGCTCCCAAATGTAAACTTATGTCATTTACACCCATTAGATTTAATCTGCATAACTTCAACTCTATATCTACTTACTACCCTACCTACTTACCTACCTACCTACCTACCTATCATCTATCATTTATCTATCATTTATCTATCTATCATCTATCTATCTCTATCTATCTATCATTTACCTATCTATCTTTCTATCTATCATCTATCTAGCTATCATTTATCTAACTATCTTTCTATCATCTATCTAGCTATCATCTATATCATCTATCTATCTATCTAGCTATCATCTGTCATCTATCTATCTATCTATCTATCTATCTATCTATCATCTATCTATCTATCTATCTATCTATCTATTATCTATCTTTCTACCATCCATCTATCTATCATCTATATCATCCATCCATCTATCTATCACTTATCTATCTTTCTAACTATTTATCATCTATCTATCTATCATCTATCTATCATCTATCCTAGCCTACCCTACCCTACCCTACCCTACTCCTATTCTATTCTATTCTATTCTATTCTATTCTATTCTATTCTATTTCTATTCCATTCCATTCCATTCCATTCCATTCCATTCCATTCCTGTTCTATTCTATTCTATTCTATTCTATTCTATTCTATTCTATTCCATTCCATTCCATTCCATTCCATTCCATTCCATTCCTATTCTATTCTATTCTATTCTATTCTATTCTATTCTATTCTATTCTATTCTATTCTATTCTATTCTATTCTATTCTATTCTATTCTATTCTATTCATTCCATTCCATTCCATTCCATTCTATTCATCCTTTGGGCACAGGCTTGGTGAGAAATCTCTCAACCATGTCTCAACTTCAGGTCCCACCATGGATTTGATTGTAACATCACTGTAGAAAATCTATGGACTTGAATGAACTGTGAAAAAGAGAGAGAAAGAAAGACTCATTTCTTGAAGGCATCTCAAGCCCACCTGAAGCCAAAACGGGCTTTGATTTTAGCAGCTAAAAAAGAATATCTAATGAACTCGATCAGGGACCTTTGTGTATCTCTCTGTTCATCTTCATGCTGCTTAAGCACCCGATGTTTGCTCTTGAAACATCTCCGAGTGCCTTCTGCGCATATAAATAGGTTCGGGGGGAGGTGTAAGGTGCTCTGAGTTTCATTTAATATTGAACATGTGTCACAGCCTTCCTGGCTCCGCTTGGCTAAATAAAAAAGGATTTGGCTATTTGGGGATTTTCCTACCGAGTTGAACTTGATGGCTCCGGTTGGGGACTCAGCAACTCAAGTCATTTACAAGCACAAGTTAGAAATAAAATTTTATAGTGAAACACAATTAAGTTGACAGCTTGTTTAGAGCAGCCTCCGGTACTTTATGGACTGTCCCAGTGGCATATCTGGGAGAGAGCTGCAAACTGTTGGATTTAACTTTTAAGGAGTGAAGGAAAAGGGCAAAATTTACAAGCGATCTAAGACTTGAGATCTCCTGTCCTTCTATGCTGCTATGTTTATCAGTGGGCATTGTCACGTTTACAGGTACAATCAAGGCAGGCTTACTATGGTTAATTTTTACCTTGGATCAAGTGGGATAATTTTTTTTTGTGATTTGATTTATATGCCGCCCTTCTCCGGAGACTCAGGGCGGCTTACAATGCGCTAAGCAATAGCCTTCATTCTTTTTGTATATTTATACAAAGTCAGCTTATTGCCCCCACAAACCGGGTCCTCATTTCACCTACCTTAGAAAGGATGGAAGGCTGAGTCAACCTTGAGCCTTGGAGAGATTCGAACCAGCAGTAATTGCAGGCAGCTGTGTTAATAACAGGGTGCTTAGACCACTGTACTATCAAGGCTCTAATTGTCAACCCTTTGAATAATTGAGTGAAGGATAATAGTCTTCTGTCAAGAGACAACAGTAGTAACTGTGAGAGTTATCTTAGAGTCCTAGTGGACAAGAATTTAAATATGAGCCAGCAGTGGGCAGCAACTGCCAAAAAAGCCAACACAGTTCTAGGCTGCATCAACAGAAGGATAGAATCCTTCTTAACACGTGAAGTGTTAAGACCACTTTATAATGCCTTGGTAAGGCCACACTTGGAATCCTGCATCCAGTTTTGGTCGCCACGATGTAAAAAAGATGTTGAGACTCTAGAAAGAGTCTCAACACATATTCTTATTACTAGAACCAGTAGTAAGAATATGTGGAACCCACCACTGGTCCTAATCCTTCTCTCTCTTTTTTTTTAAAAAAAATTAAAATTGATTTTCTATTAAATACATTCCTTAGTGCTTAATGAACATTGTGTTGCCTAGGTATTTAATTTGCTTAACAGTACAAATTTGCATTCTTAATCTCCACCCCTTTTTTCCAACCATTGGTAAAAGAAATTCCACGTTTGATAATATTTTTTCTTTCTGTTTAATTTTAAAATCGTCAATCTATCCGTTTCTGCACAATCTAGCATCTTCCTATCTCTTCACCTCGGAATATATCTTCATTTTTCCAGTATTGTGCAAATATAACCCTCGCTATAATACTGCTGTATTACAATACATTTAATACCATGTTTCCCCAAAAATAAGAGATTTTATCTTATAATATAAGATTATATATTTTTGAACCCCGAAATAAGCGCTTGGCCTTATTTTCGGGGGAGGTCTTATTGTTTTGGGGCACCTGGAGCAAGACAGGGCTCCTCTTGCCGTCTTACCTGATTTCCAGCTCTGTCTCCCTAACCCTAACCAGAGGAAATGGCGAGGACTGGCTGTGCATGTGTTTAAATATTTTCGAAGAGGGCTTATTTTCGGGGATGACTTATTTTCGCGCATGTGCTCAAAAGCCTGATTGGACTTATTATCAGGAGATGTCTTATTTTGGGGAAAACAGGGTATTAAATACATACTTCTCTTATCAACTTTTTTCTCATATTACTGTGTTTCCCCGAAAATAAGACCCTCTCTTATATTTTTTTGAACCCCAAAATAAGCGCTTGGCCTTATTTTCGGGGAGGTCTTACTATTTTGGGGCATGTAGAGGAAGATAGAGCTCCTCTTGCCATCTTACCTGATTTCCAGCTCTGTGTTTAAATATTTTCAGGGAGGGCTTATTTTCAGGGGGAGGCTTATTTTAGCTCATTCGCTCAAAAGCCCGATTGGGCTTATTATCAGGAGATGTCCTATTTTTGGGAAAACAGGGCATTAAATACATACTTCTCTTATCAACTTTTTTCTGATATTACTGTGTTTCCCCGAAAATAAGACCCTCTCTTATATTTTTTTGAACCCCAAAATAAGCGCTTGGCCTTATTTTGGGGGAGGACTTATTATTTTGGGGCGTGTGGAGGAAGATAGACCTCCTCTTGCCATCTTACCTGATTTTCAGCTCTGTGTTTAAATATTTTCAGGGAGGGCTTACTTTTGGGGGGGGCTTATTTTAGCTCATTCGCTCAAAAGCCCGATTGGGCTTATTATCAGGGGATGTCTTATTTTCAGGGGAAACAGGATATACCTAATAAAAACAGTTCAGGTTTAAAATCTACATGTTTCCCTATCATCTTTTCTAGTCACCTGTGTATCTTTGCCCAATTTTTTTTATAAATAACTTTATTGTCATTGTACACAGTATACCCATACAACGAAATTCACTTAACACCCAAAGACTAGGTCCAACACACATAACAATCCCCAAAACACCCACCCACCACAATTCCCCACCCCTAAACCACCCAAACATCCACACTACAGACCAAGCTGGCGGCTGTTTTGCTTTGACAGTCCTTTTCTTTGATAGGCTAACATATTTCACTCCCTCAGTCATTCACTTTACAGTTTAGCCTCCAGAATCTTTATCAACTTCATTGTTCTTCTCTGCTCTCGGCTTTCTAGGCTCTTGGTCTCTTTTTTGTATCATGGTAACAAGAACGAGACATGATATTCCAAGCATTGGCTCACTGGTGCCGTGTAACACCTTGGGGACACTTTCTTAACTCTTCCTTCCATTGGGAGGTTTTGGGAAAGAGAAGTACAGTAGTGGCCAAAATTGTGGAAACCTTTTGGGAAAAGTATATTTTCTAAAACTAGCTAATAGCACCACTTTTTTGGGGGGAGGGAGTAGTACCATTAAATTATATATCAATGGAAAGATAATTTCATCAAGAATGTAACGCAATAACTTTTATGAACGGTTGGCTATTAGAATAGCAGTTATGGTATAAAGAAGAAAAGTGAAACAGGTAGAAAAAAAAACGAGATAGGCA